CGTTGGAGTCGGGCTGGAGAGTTTGCAGCTCCAGGCGTTTGGGAGAACAGAAGTCCAGCCATGATAAGGCTCTTCCGAGATTGGGATTATAACATCTTCACCTCTGAGTGGAACTCGGACGAACCCCACTCATGTGAGGTCCACTGGCTGAGGTGAACTTGTGTCAGACGGAATATCGTCACTACTTCGGACGAGTCACAGCCATCCTATGGAGACGCTGGACAGGTAGCGTTAACTGGAACTCCGTATCCGCTGATTCATCTTCAGAGAGGTAACGAGTCAAGTTCACTACTGAGCGTACCGAGGAAAGCTGGGTTCGAATGGAGAGTGTCGGTTCTGGTCAACACTCTCCCTCACACACCATCTTTTACTCCCTTTAAACTTCATTTTCCATCTTTAAATTCTTCTATCAAGTAGAAATCATTCCAGATATTTTAGAAATGTCTGTGTAAAGTGCTCATCCACCGCCGTGTGGATAATCAATCAATTGTACAGCTTGCTGATTAATTATGTTGTTATTTTCATATTTTGCCAAATTAATGTAAATGTTTGATGTTAAACTTTGATTCTGTAAATAAATGACCACATTCATTTTGATGGGTCAAAGATAAATAACGTCTCACGATACATTTTATTAAATTCAATGCACGTTATATACAGTCCAGAAAAATGAAAGAATCCGTTTTAATCAGGTGAATATCTCAGAATATGTTCATCTACATACTGGTGGCCCGTCCGTACGTTTCCACCACATACTGGTGGCCCGTACGCTTCATAAATGGACTGTGTATTCGTGTAAAGATTGATTTTACGTGTTGGCATGAAAAATAGCAGATTGTTAGCTGTGTTGAAACGCAGCGTGCTGAGGCTGCGGCGCTTGGAGTAAACGCAGCGTGTTGAGCTGAAACAGAAATGTTAGCAGCTACTGGTCTTTATGAAAGCTGAAATTGTACATCTGTTGTGTAACATAAGCTGGGTTTGAGCGGTGGAAACGCTTTATTCTGTTTAAACCGTGTTCCAGACGCTGATCTGGTACGGCTCTGTTCTGAAAAAGTTCGAACGAGTTGTTTAAATGGCTGGAAAGACGTTTTTGAGACCGGGGCGCCGACTCTGTGCAGCTGGGAAGCTTATTGATTACATTTTTAACAGAAAAGAGTGCATTTTGACAGTTTAAAAGACGAAGAGTTGACGGACTTGTTCAGATAAATCTAACATGCTAGTTGGAAAAACGCTGCGAGATTGGTTGAATTCAGCTGAGTTGGGACGCTGTGATTCGCTGAAGAAGTGAATGACGTGCCTACGTCACTTCCTCTGACCCCCGTGTTGCTCTGTCATTGGTGGATTCAGTCACGTGACCCGGAAATGAAAACTCGTTTTCTTAGGGAATTAAAATCTGCTTTTTAAAGCTGAAAAGTGCTTTAAAGTTGATTCTGATACGTTGCTCCGTGTCTTTGAAGCTCTAATCGTTGGAGTTTTGCCACGTTAGAGTTTAAAATCTGTCATTAAATGATGTTTTTGAACGACGCTAGCGATGCTAATTTTAAGCTAACAGCTAACGACCGGATGAGTGACGTGTCACGTCACTTCCTCCATCTCGGAAATGAGCTCGGTTGCAACCGAAGCCTTCGCTGTGCTTAAAATCACTAAATGTAACTTGCCACATGCCCCTTAAACTCATTTTCATGCAAAGAAGTCGTGCTTGTTGAAACAACGCCACGTTTACGCTTTAAAACCGTTCAGAAATGTTGATTTTAACCGAGTTTAGCCGAAGCTAACTTTAAGCTAAGCGGCTAACAACAGGATGTCAACAGAACGTCACAGGAAGTCGTCATAGGCTCCTGCTGGTATAAAGCTAAACACTGCCCCCTCCTGTAGGAACTTGAGATCACAGTTTCACTATGTTTTAGGTTATTTTTGAGTGAAATTAAACGTATTTTCTTTCTGTAAGGCATTTTTGAGTTAATAAACGTTCTTCAAAGCTGAATAATCACTGTTATCTTGCATTTAAAAAGTAATTAAGGTATTTATGCAGAAAGGCATTTACCAGGACATTTTTCATTCACTGAATTCCTCAAACAGGAGGGACAAAATGAAAAATTAGAAACTTTTTAAAAGATACGGTTCAGATATTCACAGAAGTTGATAAGTTTACTCATTTGCTGGAAAGATAATGCACGTTTAATTGCTAGATCATTAAATAAGAGTAAATATATCAGGAAAAAGAGACTTTTCTGATTTTATTTACCACCTAAACAATTACATCTCCTATTTATATTTTTAAATAGCAGATATTGGCAGGAGAACAGGAGTATAACAGTTTTTCTGAATAAGACTGATTATTCCTCATCATCAATTTTCTTTTCTCTTTTCACCCAACTGGGTTGATGAGTAACTGTTTAAAATAGCGATTTTCTGGAAGTAAACGGTTTAAAAAAGGTTTTAAACTGATGTTGCTGTGAGACTAAAAAGAAAAATTGCAGGTTTATAAAAATTCAGTGCTTTAGAGTGAAAGACACTGAGACGCTTGGTAATCTAGTATCTGTTAAAAAATAAGCACATAAAAAGTAACACTGCATAGAAGCATTTACTTAAATATTCATGAATTGGGGTAAAACCTGGACAGGTGCCCACATTTGAATAAGTTGACTTATAACAGTACTTTTGTGTAAACCCAAAGCTAAAATAGTGTGAAACTCATTGACATTTGAATACAATTATTTACCTGTAAAAATATCTGAAGCTGGCAATTGTTTTATCCAGAAAAAGTGCTGAACGGTGAATAACCATGACAGGTGTCAGGGAAAAAGATTTTGATCCTTATGAGATCAAGGACTGTTTAGAAGATGCGTTAGCGCTGCTGACAGCATCCTTACATCCATATGGCAAACAGGCGGACAGCATGAACCCAAAAGAGTTATTGGACAATCTGATGGAGGTTGCAGAAGGTGTGACCTCTACAGAAATTACAATGTCAAGTTATGAAAAGCTGGCTAGAATTGCAATTTTGCTGAAAGAATCATTCTATGCGGTTGTTAAGAAAGCTGATTACCTTGCAATAAGGTTAGACAGTGAAAAAGAGGTGGTTCAGAAAATTGAAGAACACTTCCTTCAATTTGAGAGCGAACACGAGGTCCTCATGACAAAACATTATGAACAGATGTTTCATTTACAGCAAAATGCAAATGCAGAAATTGATTCGCTGAATAGCAAAATACAGTTACTTAATGCATCAATATCTGAAGCCAGGGATGCTAAAGAGCTGTTGTCCAGTGAATACTTTGCATTAAGACGGGATCACAACGAGAAAATGTCACAAGTTTCCCGCTGCAAAAGTGAAATAGATGTACTTAAAACACAACTTGAGGAATGCACACTGGTAAAAGCGGTATTACTCCAACGATGTCTGCTTTTACAAAGTGAATGTCGGACATCACAGGAACGCCTGAAGGCTTGTGAGGAGGAACTGGCCGCAGCATCAAATAAAAGTTCTGACGTGGGGTGAGTTTGTCTGGAACTCAGAGAAGACCGTGGACAGAGTCCAGGTCACCCACAAACACCTCAGAAAGATGTTGTTGCACCTCCACATGTGTGGGGAGAAAAACCTCAAAAAGTCTATTACACACCTCTTGCTTTTAAGCCCATCCAACCACCCTCACCTAAAGTGGTAGGAACAGACCTGAACAGGTCTCCTCCACCAAACATGCAACAGTGTGCAGTGAATGTGTTCGAGGCATGTTCTCATTTTAAGACGCCCATAGAAGTGTTTCCTGGTGTAAAGGTTAAACCCCACTCCCCAGACCTGGAAGGACGGCGTGCATCGTGTAGTGAACTTAACCTGATGTCAAGACTAAGCCTAAGGTCAAAACCCTTGACCTTAAGAACCTTGTGGGACAGGAACTGTCATTTCATTGATTTGAATCCAGAAATACAGGTTCTCCCATCCTGAGACTCTCTTTCTTGAAAATCAAGTGGAAGAACACTCTCTTTTTATTATCATTACTATTTTACAAATGTTGATAATCAATGTGTCTTAGTTCAAACCATTTTAGATGTTGCAGTGAACTAATCAATTTTATTAACAGTGGAACAGTGTAATGATTTTTAATTCTCATGCAAAGTTAGAATTCATGTTAAAGCTGTTACAGAGTAATTATGCATTTTCTGATTTCTGTCTTTGAATGAGCAAGTGTGCATTTTCCAGGGTCAGGAATCGAAGCAGACATGTGTTGGAACAACTGCCTTGTTTTTACATCCTCTCAGACGTCAACAGGGGGGTTTTGGCACCTGTTTCTAAAACTCGCCAAAACAAAACTCTCTCTCTGTCTGTGAGAACAGTTTAATCTGTTCAATAACATTCTTGCTGTTTTTCTGACTCCTAGTAACCTCTTACGTCACAAAACACACCCCTGTCTGGTTGTTTTGGACCAATCCGAGACTCCCGAATGAACCGGGAAAAGAGCTCTTTAAAAATGTTGGTACTTCCTGGTTTACCCAGTTCTGTGGGTTTGGAGAAGTTCGGCGGTGCGGACAGTTCTGATATGTCCTAGTGCTGGCAGTTGCTGTGGGAGCCGGGAAGACCCTGACATGACCACAGAGCTCTTCCGAGTTTCATGGGATTATAACATTTTCCACTGAGGTGAGCTTGTGTCGGACAGAATCTCGCCATTACTCCGGACGATTCACAGCCATCCTACGGAGACGCTGAAAGGGTGCGTTAAACGGAATCTCGCCTGAGACATCTCCAGGTAAAAGAGTCGATTTCACCACCTAAGTGTACTGTAAGGAAGAAGCTGAAGAAAGCCCGGAGAGTGCCGTTCTGTTCAACACTCTCCCTCAAACACCATCTTTCACCCCCTTTAAACTTCATCTTTTCATCTTTAAATTCTTCTCTAAAGTAGAAATCCTTCCAGATAATTTAGAAATGTCTGTGTAAAGCAACGGAAAATCATGGCCGTATGGTTTTCCTGATTGATTATGTGTTATTTTCATATTTTGCCAAATTAATGTAAATGTTTGATGTTAAACTTTGATTCTGTAAATAAATGACCACATTCATTTTGATGGGTCAAAGATAAATAACGTCTCACGTTACATTTTATTAAATTCAATGCACGTTTATATTCAGTCCAGAAAAATGAAAGAATCCATTTTAATCAGGTGAATATCTCAGGATATGTTCATCTACAAGTACTTCATTAAAAAGTAACAACAAAATAACCTTTTGTTTTTTTTTAAACATGCACACAGTGATTTGAAGGAAAAAGTTAAAACTGAATGTTAACATGAAAAGTTACAATAAATGATGTGTGTCAAAGTGTATTATTTTTTAGCTTTTTTACACTCTCACAGTACCATTCTTTCCTCTCTTTTACTTTTGCCCATAGGAGTCAAGGATACATCAAAAACTTTTTGTCTTTTGTACATACAATAAGTAGTATAATTAACATTAATAACAAATTAACCATTTATTTTTTATAATGTGCAAACAGTTATTAAAAGAACAAAGTAAAAATTTAGTGTTTGTACGATCTGTTCCAGTATGTGTGTCATTGTAAATTGTTTTTAGATTTTTTTACACTGCTCACAGTACTATTATCTCACCTTTTTTTTAAACTTTTGCACGTTCATAGTGGAAAAGATTATTGCACTTTGAACAGTGATGATCTTTCCAAACTCTGGCCTTTCACAATGCAAGCAGACCGTAGGTGCTTGCTGTTTCAGGCTGTGTGTTAAAAGCTTGGGTAGAATACTTTGTGTGAAAAACTGTTCAGCTACAGGGAGGACTGTGTGCAGTGTTTCTTCATCTCTGACTGCACGAGTAATGACTGTATCCTGCTGGGTCCAAATCACAGACACAGTACTGGACATCACATGCATACATGTGAAGCTGAACTTGATATTCATGGTTATAAAAAGTTAAGTTGGGTCCTCTGGACATTCAAAAAAAAAAAAAAAAAAAGCAAAACAACAACAAAAAAAATGTAGAAACGTTTCGTCTTTCATCCGAAAGACTTGTTCAGTCTGAGGTGCTG